CTGACGTATGTCCCCCATTCAGGCCTAAAACTTTTGTCTGAAATATTTTGTCGACCTCGAAGATTTCGAGATTTTTTAATGCGAAAGTTGAAATGGGACACCCTGTATATATATCATTTAATTTCTAGCATTCGTGCTGTTTTTACTTACGAAAACGAGCGTGTCCTATATAAATGTAAAATATACATTACACGAAGATGTTTTAGTACATATATCACAGATTTCTATACGTTTCTTTCTTTTATACTGTTACGTCCTAGAGGAGGAACGCAACCCTTTCGTTCGCGAGTAAGGCGAACCTCGTTCGTACACGCGTATCAGTGAACGGGTCAGGGACCCGACGGGTCCCTTTACTCGGGCACCGACGTACGACGAGCGGTCCGTTTTTCGGTCAGGGACGCGAATCCCTTTACCGGAGATAGGACCATGAGTTGACTGTTGGAAGGGTATATGTGATTTTGAAGTTAATTGGAAAAAGAATGAAATATAAACAGATTTATTAAAATGACTATAATAACAAAATGAATTACGGCGCGGTTTAATACAGTTGAGGAATGACTGTGTATGTGTATGTGTGTATGTATGAGAAGTGAAAAAGGAGAAAATAAAAAAAAAGGTAGAAGCAAAAAAAAACAGAACTTACTGCTGACTCCTGTTATCCCGAAGGTGAGCAAAAAATAAAATTGTCGTTTGGTAGCTCCTGCTCGGTAGGTTAAGTTGTGCTCGTCCACTCCCTTCCGGTTGTTCAATTATAACACAAACACTAATGCCTTTTGCTGATTTCTTTGAATGTTTGCACAAACTCGGATATATGAATCGTAGATATATTATTTGAATGTCTGACTTGAAATCTAAATTCTGAATGCTCAAAACAGAATATCCGAGTGAGAGTATGACTGCCTTTTTCAGAGTAGAATTAGAAGTAGAAGTAGAAGTAGTGTGTCGCGGAGGCGGATTACCGCGGTTTTTATAGTGATAATCGGAGGCAGAAACTATCAGGGTGGGTAGAGAGATGGCCTTTGAGGAAGGGGTGAATTGGTCTTAGTGGGAAAAAGTCTCAGCCATTAGCAAAGTTAAAAGACATCGTGGGAGGAGACAGTTAGTTTTTGGAGATATGAATATGGAAGGGCTAAAGGGTGGAGCGTGGGTGTCTCATAGTTTTAGGTGGATATATGATTGGCTGAATGAATTAGGCGCGACAAGCGTGGAGGTGGTGGATTCTTGAGATAGAGAAATGTATACAAGTGGCCAGCTGGAAAAATCAAAATGCCGTAAATCAAAGGCTGAGATCAGATTTTACGACTATCAGTGAAGTAAGCTTTGTTGGTTGACTGATAGGGCACATATGGTTTTGGATTGGGAAGATATAAGTTTCAAGTTTTAGAGCAGGAATGCTCTGTGTTGCTTTGTTTTACTGAAGGTTTGTTAGCGCGGAGTTTCAAATTTTTATGGCTTGGACGACGGACACACTTGGCGAACACTACCCAGATATAAACTTTAAACGAAGACGTAGATTTTTACAACAGGGCACTGTTTCCTGTTATGGAATTTTCCCGAATCGCCTTTCATTTGGCGCGACGGCTGTTCGCCAGATGGGTCTGTTTCCTAATTTATATTTATATATGTATATATTCCTATTATAGTTATATTAGGAGAATATAAATCCGCGAGAGGAAAGAATTTTTACTAATTAAATCTACAGGACGTAACAATACAATTGATAAGCTGATACATTGCTCACATACGCGCCCACCAGAAAGTTATAGTATATTAAGTAAAAGCATATGCGCTTTTTTCCTTTTAATACTTGAAGTACTAAATTATTTTCAGCCTTTCTGAGTTTTTAGCTCTGTTTAAAGTTTAAAGTTTAAATAAATATTGTATTTATGTCGAACGTAGAATTGTGAAAGTTTCTGGACTATTTATTAAATATTCATTTTAATCTGATACAAACTTCACAACAATGCTCTCTTGAACATAACAAATTCAATATTTGTTTACAATACTACAAAAAAGTCAAAAATAATTTAATATACTACTAATGTAAAGGTCACTTTACATAATTTATTGTTCGCGATAAATTTGGGTGATATATTTATTCATATAATATATTGTATAATGGAGCTAACAATACATGATTATTAAATATGTACACATTTATTACGTATATTTATTATTTATGTGTATTATTATTAAATGTATATATTTTTATTATTTTTATCATAATTACTCCAAGTATGTTATTGTTTTCAAAATCCAATATTTTCCGAATTCTGTCGTAAAGTATACATCGTGTAAAGTGACCTTAATATAACTCTCTAAACATTGCATGTCTTTCTATGTTCTTATTCTTTATATCCGAGACAATATAACTTCCAAGAGAAATCTTGGAAATGCTCTAAAGATGTCCTCAGGACGCTGAATGTCATTTGGACATCTTAGGTTTTCTTTAGGATATCTTTGCAAAATCCGTGTTATCTCGGATTTTCCGATCTATTGTTTCTATCTATGTTGTATTTTTGTAGTTCCTTTTACTCTTTTTCAATCCTTTTTTTCTATATTTCTGTTTATTCTTTTTTTTTTGGTTACGCAGGGGAAATCCATCATGGATACTCCCGACCCTTGGGGGATCGGGGGTTATGTCGGACTTCTACCGACTAAAACCCCTGCGGGATGCCTACCTGTCGGACCGGAAATGTGGGGAGTCAGGGGAACTACTCCCGTATTCCCTCCCCGACACCTCGGACCCAGGACTCCCTTTCGGGAGTCCCTACGCCACCTGTTACCGCGCCCTGTTCCGCAAAGGAAATCCAGGACGTGGTCCCGGTCGGTCCAAGACCGACTGGTTGGCCTTCCGGTTTCATCTAGGGCGTGAGGGCATCCGCCTCCACCCCCCTCCCCGTTAGTCAGGGAGGGAGGGTTTCTGGGGGAGTGGACCCGTCCCCAAACGGGTCATCACTCCCCCTTTCCCTACTTGTTCGCGGCAAGGGGATCCATCTTTCTCTATGCAGAGGAAGATCCGGATCCCCCCTGCCGACGGAGGCGGGCCCGAAGAGGTCGAGGAGGGCATGGACCCCTGCTACCCGGGGGTCCTTCCTCTTCCTCAGCCTGTGCCACCATAGACCCGCTGTCTGAGTTTCCCCCCAGTGGGTGCCGGCCACCCCGTCGCCTCCTGCGACGGGTTCGGCGTGGCCGGCGCTCCCTCTCGGCGGCCTCCTTCTTGGACATAACGTCCCTACAGAAGGAGGCCGCTGCTTTCCAACCCTCCTGGCTCCCGCACATGGTTTGAACCATGCGCGGGAGCGAGATGTCCCCCACCTGACACCCCATCGCCCCGGCCAGGACCCGGCGCTACCCACTCCAGGCTGAACAAGCAGCCAGGGTGTGGAGCGCCGTGTCCATGAGCACGGGGCAATGGTGGCACCTGGTGGTGAGCTCCTTTCCGATCCGGTGCAGGTACTTTCCGAAGCACCCATGGCCCGTCAGCACCTGCACCAGATGGTAGGACAATCCGCATCGAAGTAATAAAAGCCGCTACAAACAAAATTTATATAATACATAATCAAATTTATATGTTGACAATTCGGAACCAATGTGTCCATGTATTTCGCAAAAGTCAAGTAGGGAAGATAATAAACAGAGATGTCTTATATACATATCGAAGTAAGAGTCATAACATATTTATAAAATTGAACGGTTACACAATACAAAATCGAATTTCAGAACTAATGTTTAAGTCTCTCAACTATCGATTCGTAGCCCGAACTAAGATCATTTGTTATTGAGAGTGATAATTGAATTTAATTTAATTTAGTTTGTATTATATTTGCGAAATTACACAGTCTGTCCCAGATACGATGAGACTGATTCCATCAAAGTTCTTAGCGCAGCGATATCTATGAGTGAATGATGGTAGGTGTATGTTCTACCCTTCATCTACTTAACCTCAAAATTTGAGCGAATTCTGTTGATATTTCACAGTGGTTTGACATTTTATGTAAAGTCACTTTTTGTACGTCGGTCGAGAAACCAACATGGAACATGTTTTAAATTGGGTAAAAGTGGTGCAGAAACGTACGAAACGCTAAAAAATGTGTACAGGAATGAATGCATGTCCCGTGCACAGGTTTTCCGTTGGTTTGGCCGGTTCCGTGACGGTCGTAAGGACCTTGCAGACGATGACCGAGCACCGCCGCCAAAAACTACTCGCAATGAAGAAAACATCGAGAAAGTCAAAGAAATTCTTCGAAACGACCGCTGTGTGTCTGCCCAGATATTATCTGGGAGTTCTACAACGATTGTGGGCCAGAATTCGACGAGTTCGACCGGAATATCGAGAGCCAGGCAGTTGGTTTTTGTTGCACGATAATGCACCATCGCACAGAGCCATTATGGTACGTGAATTCTTGACCAAAAAAGGCATCATTGTTATCGATCATCCACCGTATTCACCTGATTTGGCTCCACGCGACTTCTGGCTATTTCCCAAACTGAAATTGGCGATGAAAAGAAATCGTTTCGATACCATCCCGGTCATCCAAAAGACTTCGACCGCCATACTAAAGCCCATTCCAGCCGATGAGTATAAAAAATGTTTCGAAAAATTTGTTGAACGTTTCCAGCGCTGTATTGACTTAGAAGGAGACTATTTTGAATAAACAAGAATAAAAAATCAAAATAATAAACGCTTTGTATTTTTTTTAAACCAGTCTCATTGGATCTGGGACAGACTGTGTAGATGTTTGTAACTAAATGTATAACCGCGTATAATTTTATTTATTTGTGCATTTATTTTAGATTGAGTCATTCAGAACAAAATATATATTTGAAACAGTTATTGGGTGATTCTGATGACGATAAGAGTTTAGGTCCTTCAGATAGTGACGATGAAGACTGATTTCCCATGGAAAACCCAGCAGTTGATGTCTCTGATAGCGAAGAAAATGACGATAAAAGTGGAGAGCAAGAGGGACAAGGACAAGTAGTAGCGGAAAATAGCGATGGCGAAATTGAAAAAGAACAAGAAACACAAGAAAGTGAGACAGAGAGTGAAGCAGAGGACGAAGCAAGAGGTATTTTGATTTGCATAATTTAAAAATTAAACATTTCAGAAAACATGTATACATAATAACAAATTATTTATTTGATTATATTTTTCAGAGGAAACCGATACAACTTTTGTGGCTAAAGATAAAATCCGTTTGGAATAAAGTACCAACAGTTCAACATCAAACTGCCGTTAGAAATATTCTAAGGCAAAGAGCTGGTGCACACAGAAGCACGGAGACTTTATCGATCTGCAATACTTTCAAAAAAATCATGTCAAATGAAATGATTTATATAATCGTTCGTTATACCAACAAGAAAGTATTAGCAATGTATGAAGAGTATAATAACAAATACCCCGAAAAAGAGCCGCGCGTATGGAAAAATGTAACATTGAACGAAATGTACGCATTTTTAGGTATTTTGATATGTGCAGGTGCAAATAATTCCAACACTGATCACGTAGAAGAAATGTGGAAATCATCATCGTATCCTTTATATCGTGCAACTGTGGGAATAAATCGTTTTAAATCAATTATACGTTTTATACGTTTTGATGATTTCAATACGCGTCAACAACGCTTGAGTGAAGATAAAGCTGCTCCTATACGCGATCTGTGGAATATGCTAAATGCAAATTTATATGCGGTGTACAAGCCTACGGAAAATTTAACAATTGACGAGCAGCTTTTTCCTTTTCGAGGTAGAACTAAATTTACTCAATACATTCCATCTGAGCCTGCTAATTACGCGATAAAAGTTTGGTGGATATGTGACGCGGAAAACTCTTATCCGCTGAAAGGTTTGATTTATACTGGTAAAACAGGGAATACACGTGAAGTAAACCAGGGTGAAAGAGTTGTCAAAGAACTTGCAGTTTTATATAAAGGATCCGGTATAAATAGTTGTATGGACAATTTCTTCACATCATTGCCGCTAGCTAAACATTTACTCTCGTGGAATCTAACAATAGTTAGTACTTTGAAAAAGAACAAATCTTATACCTAAAGGAATGGCATCCTCCAAAACAAGAGAAGAATTTTCAACATTATTTGGATTCCATGAGAAAGCTGCTTTATGTTCATATGTGCCAAAAAAGAATAAAGCTGTAATATTACTCTCGACTATGCACTCAAATATGACAGTATCCGATGATGCGAAGAAAAAACCAGAAATGATATTATATTACAATAAATATAAAGCTGGAATGGACACTATGGACCAGATGTTAACAAGATATACCACACATCGGCGTACAAATAGATGGCCACTAGCTTTTTTCTATAATATTATTGATATTGCCTGTCTTGCTGCGTACGTCATTTATTATGAAAATAATAAAATGATACAAAAGAAAAGAAATCAACGTAGAATATTTGTAAGACAATTAAGTGAAGAGCTCGCCATCCCGATAATTGAAGATCGCTCTCAAAATCTGCAAATAATGAGACACTATTCCACGAAGTTAGCAATCGACAGCATATACAGGGTGCACGATTTATCTGAAGACATTGAAATATCTCGAGAACTATGCATTGGATAAAAAAAAGTGGTTAATGAAAGTTGTTAGTCTCGAAGGGGGACTTCCAATGATACCAAACTCGACCTCCCACCCTACCCCCTGGGGATGGGGGTTGGGGGCAACTTTGAAATCTTAAATGGAAACCCCCATTTTTTATTGCAGATACGGATTCTACGCCACAAAATACGTAAATTTTGTCCGAAACTTTTTTTTTATTCGTGATAGATGGCGCTGTAATCGCAAAAAATTATATTTTCCGCAATTCTCCAGAAATGATCATTGGATTGAGAAATAAAAAATAACTATTCAATATTTTTAAAGAACATAATAAAAGTTATTCCCCCCCCCACCCTCTCGGGGTAGGGTGGGTGATAACGTTCAAATCTCAAATGGGGACCCACATTTTTCATTGCAGAATTAGATTGTACGTGAAATTTTTATTGAAACAATTTTTTTCATTCGTGATAGATAGCGTTGAATTTTTCCAAAAAACTACTTTTAGCGTTACATAAGAACAACGACGAGGACGTAGTAGTTTTATAATCCCTTCGGGTGCATTTTTAATGTGAGTCCCCTTGCCTCTCACAGATCGGGGTGCTTTTTTAATGTGAGTCCCCTTGCCTCTCACTGTTCAATTAATTAGAGTAAGTGTTCGAAATTTTTACCTTCAACTTCAATACACTTATTGATCCTTTTTTTAAATGACTGTACACAGGATAGAAGCATATCTGCGGGAGTTTCAGCGCAAGCGTTTCTTATGCGTTCTATTATGTTTTCACGAATTGTTGGCACTTGGTGATAAACCTTATCTTTTAGGTAACCCCACAGAAAGAAATCCGGCGATGTCAAATCAGGCGACCTAGCAGGCCAATTAATCGGGCCACCTCTGCCAATCCACCGACCATTGTAATCACGGTCTAATACTTCCCGTGCTGCTATTGAGTTATGCGCTGGGCAACCCTCATGCTGAAACCACATACTTTGTCGAACAAGGCAACATCATCAGGTAGTGGTGGTAGTTCCTGTTCCAGGAAATTTCGATATTTGATTCCATTCAAATTACCTTCAATAAAATAAGGACCAATGAGTCTGTTCCCTATGATTCCACACCAAACGTTAACCGATCAAGGACGTTGATGTTCAACTTGTCGTAACCAGTGGGGATTTTCTACACTCCAGTAATGCATGTTATGTCGATTAACGCCACCATGGTTTGTGAATGTAGACTCATCTGAAAATAGTACATTAGCAATGAAATTGGGGTTCGTTTGCATTTGTTGAAGTGCCCATTCACAAAACACCACTCAATTATGAAAATCATCGTCATGAAGTTCTTGATGCAGTGAAATGTGATATGGGTGATACTTATGACGATACAATATTCTACGAATATTATCTCCGGAAATTCCGAAATCGCGATGTAATTGCCGAGTGCTTACCTGTGGGTTGTGGTGAACAGCTGCTAGCACAGCTATTTCATTAACTTCTCCTGTAACAGTTGTTCTTCGTTTTCTTTTTTTAGTTTGTACGCTGCCATCCGAGATAAAGGCAGTCACAACTTTGTGAAAAAAGAACGTGAGCGAACATTGTCTGGAAAACGCTCAGCATACAAGGCAACAGCATCGTCAACATTCCTCCTACATTCACCATAAATCAGAATCATTTCAATTTTTTCTTCTACGGTTACAGAATTCATTTTCCACTTGCAATTCTGTTCAAAGAATGAAGGGTAGATATGCAGGTAATAAAAACTAGTCAAGTAAAATGAAATTGTTAGAGATGCTTTCAGTTCTAATTATGAAAGAAAAGTGAGCTCTGACCGCATTGCACTGCCTTTTATAATAAGCCGTAGTTCGCCATACACCCACAGTGGCGCGTCGAGCAGTTCCCTCTTCGATTCGGGTTCCCATTTGAGATTTGAACGTTACCACCCATCCTACCCCGAGAGGATGGGGGGAATAACTTTTCTTATGTTCTTTAAAAATATTGAACAGGTAGTTTTTATTTCTCAATCCAATGATCATTTCTGGAGAATTGCAGAAAATATAATTTTTTGCGATTACAGCGCCATCTATCACGAATCAAAATAAAAGTTTCGAACAAAATTTACGTATTTTGTGGCGTAGAATCCATATCTGCAATAAAAAATGGGGGTTTCCATTTAAGATTTCAAAGTTGCCCCAACCCCCACCCCCAGGGGATGGGGTGGGAGGTCGAGTTTGGTATCATTGGATGTCCCCCTTCGAGACTAACAACTTTTATTAACCACTTTTTTTTATCCAATGCAAAGTTCTCGAGATATTTCAATGTCTTTTAACGTTAAAAATTCTATATTTGGGCAGATTGTTATCTCACTTCTGAATAAAAGGGGTTCTAAATATACAGCTGTAAGATTACGTAGCTATTGCTAGATCTCTTATTTATATCAAAATGATACTTTTTCTTGTCAGAATGATTGCCGCTTGGAAGAGAGACTGATAAAATGATTTATTAACAATAGTGCGTAGAAATTTATTCTTCTGTACCTCGTTACATTCTACGACACGGCTATCTCCTCAGGCCGTGTCAGAACCACGTCCGTCAATAGGATACCTAAGCACTCGCCTGGCGATGACCAATGTCCGGAAGTACAGACTTTGAATACTCCAAAAGCCTCGAAGCTCACGGATTACAATATAAACTCTAATAAACGGAGAGCGCAGAAGACGAAGGCAGAAACGAATCAATAATTGCCAAATGCCGAAAGAGCACCACGATTGAAAAGATAAGGCTATAAGCCGAAAAGCTAAAGAGCTCGAATTACTGAAATACTGCTCAATCCAATCTTCTATAATCAATCCTCGTTACTCTCGTCTCCGAATATATATATATATACCTCACAGAGGTCGCGCGGTTATTATTTCTAATATTGCCGGGTATGTTGCTTACATCAGGTGGCAACACTAACCCTTTCCCGCGGTCTGATATCTTACAGATACGTTTTCAGATACGTTGTTCGCTCCCATCAGATAAACACGACCACCTTAAGTCGTGGAAAAAAGCACGCGTGCTCAAGTCGTGCGCTTCTGGCGCGGGCCGACAACGCTCATCGCTAGCCAGCCAATAGGCGATCGACACCGCGCTACATGTGCAGTGGCTCGTGTTGGCCGCGTGATCGACGTCGCGCTCGCCGGTGCGTCGCTCTCGCGCGTTTTCACGTGGCTTCGTTTAGATCGTGGTGCCCGTGAGTCGTACAAGGCATGCGCGCTCAGCGGGGGCCACCAATCCGCTCGGCGTATTTTGTGACACGCGTACGCGGAAGCAATTAGACATACAATGCGAATATCTGCGCAACGCGGATCGATGAGCGGATCGATCGCTCACGTTGAGGAGCGGTTAGATGGGTCGACAACGACGAGAACAAAACCACAAGTCGAGCGGATAACCGTTTTTCTCGTCCGTGTGGCATTGCGCGGATCGATTAGCGATCTCGCGTGCTACCCGCGTGTAGGATCACGCCGTTCATAGGCGATCTCTCCGGACTTGGATTGTTGATCCGTTTGCCGCGCCGCAGCCTCAGCGAGTGAAGTCGAGCGGTTGCGCTTCGCGTGAGTCCGTCTTCCGATCGAGCCGTCCGTGTGGTTGTGAGGTCGACGATTGTGGTCGACGCGGGATTGATACCGTCGTTCGACGATCATCGCAAACTCTATATAACGGTTACGGTAACCGGTGCGCTCGTCGCCGATAACTCTGTTCAGTGAGTGTCGAACCGTCATTGTCGTGGACTTTGTTAATGTGCTATCTTGCGTGAATCGTGTCGCGCCTAAAAGTATAAAGGCAAGATTTATACACTATCACGGTCTACTATCATTTTCCTTGTTTAAAGGATCCCGAACTGTCCTCACGTCCTTGTACTAGGCGGTATCAGCCCAACGCGATTCGCGCGTGTGATCGGCCGACGGCAGCGAACACTCGCTCGCCGACGGACAAAAATTCGACCTGCTCGCGCGAACAGAGTAAGAAATTATGCAGAAATTATTCATTTGTATGCATGGGTACCCGGGTACCCCGGTTGCCCCAGCGAGTTGATTAAATTAATGGAACAATTTTCTTTATTCCTAACATGAAAAAAATATCTAAAAGCATTTTTTGATGGAAAAAAGTTCAAATCGCGACGATCCGGGCGGATTTAGAAAAATTTTCAGTGGAACATAGAAAAATTTCAAGGAATATGCGCTGGTGGGTACCCGGGTACTCGGTTGTCCACATAAGGGTTAATTTGAACAACTTTTGTCTAAGGCATTTTTTCATTTGTCTAATATTTTCTCAGATATTTGAGGAAAACTTGATAACTTTTTCAATACTTAACTTACGATGTCTTGCTAATTATTTGTCGGAAGAAAAAGTGGTACTAGACTTTCTTGCTTTATGTAATCTCAAGAATATATTGTTATAATAGCGCCTTGATTTTTATTAATTTGATGATTTTGAAATTTCCAAAAATCAG